GCTGGTGAACGCGGCCTACATGCGGCAGGGGGCGCAGGGTCGGCGCGCGCACGAGCTGCGCCTGCGGGCGTTGCTGGAGCAGGTAACGGTCGTTCCTATCCCGCGGCTCTGGGCGGGGTGAGAGCGCGCACCCTTCCTTTCCTCCCCGCGCACTGATTGGAGCTGTGGCAGCCGCGCCTCCCTGCTCGGGGCCGGGCCTTGGGAGGGAGCCCATCCAAAGCTCCCTGCGTCCCCGAGGAGAGCGTGTGGCACTGCTCTTTCCTTCCCTGAGCCACAGCCTGCCCCGCAGAGCATAGGAGCCCGGCCACGCGGTTGTACTGCACGAAACAAGCAGCCAGCTCTGCCCTAAAGACCCTGCAGGCTAAGTGTCGCTCCAGAAGACAGGTGGGCTTGGAAACTGGAGGAATCGATGCGATTATAAGCAACTTGGCGTAGTGCAGCAGCTGTGCAGCAGCTGCCTCGTCATTGCACTCAGCGCCTTTCACCTGTTCCTGTGTGATGTGTATGTGCCCCTTTGTAAAGAACATACAAGGCCTTAGGGAAGATGTATTGATTTTTGTGGCCGGAAGGAACCTTTGTATCCATCTAATCAGATCTGAAGAGACATGCTGGAAATATTGATATGTCTCCCCAAAATAACAAAGCACCTAATCTTGCTCCAGTATTGTGTATTTTGAACTTAACTCGTATATACCCCAGGCAAGTTAGAGGTTTGTCTTCCTGCTTCTTAGTATCAGAGGGGTAGCTGTGTTAGTCTGAATCTGCAAAAGCAGCGAGGAGTCCTGTGGCACCTCATAGACTAACTGAAGTGTTGGAGCATAAGCTTTCGTGGGCAAAGACCCACTTCAGTTAGTCTATAAAGTGCCACAGGACTCCTCGCCACTTTTGCTTCTTAGCAGAGAGCTTTGCTGGGGCCCTCCTATTACCATAGGCTTGTCTATGCTAGAGGAAGGCTGATCTAATTGCATTGCTCAGTGGTGTGAAAAATTCACTACCCTAAAACACCTAGTTAAACTAACAAGTCCCAATGTAGACACAGGTAGATCAACTGAAGAATTCCTCTGAGAGGTGTATTAATTACAGTGATAGAAGAAACTTTTCCATTGTGGTAGTTAGGTGGATGTAAGATGCTTTATATTGACGAAGCTGGGGAAATGTTTTCACTTAAAAGTGGATCCTACTGATGTGATATACCTCTACCTGCTGATTTAGTAATACCACCTCTCTCAGTGGCTTAAAATCACAGTGAATGTTATTAGGTCAAGGCAGTGTCAGTGCAAACACTGTGTTTCTTATGTCAGCTATTACTGGTCTCCAGGTACTGTCCCAAAATGCCCTCTGCTGACAGTACAATCACTATAAACACTCCTGGTGAGGAGGTGTACTGCCAATGTGTGCAAACACATGGGATGAATAACAGACCGACATAACTTTGTAGTGTAGATGTGGTCTAATGCTCCCCACTACAGCAATGCAGGTATGCTGCAGTAGCACTTCTAGTGTAGACTCACTTAATTTTTGCAAAATCTAGTATGACCACTTGAAACAAATTATACTTACAAGCAAGAGGTACGAAAGACAAATGGAATGCCCAATGCATATGTTTTAGACTAAAGTGCCATATGAAAAGTATAGCCTCTATCTGCTTCTCAGATTTTTATTGGTTTGTTGTCACTAGTTCCTACTTGAGGGCTCCCTATTTCAGACTAACCTTTTTTTTAAAAAAAAAAAATGGGTTTGATAAAATTGAAACACCATTTTGCTTTTAGCAGGTGAGCTCTGGGCTCAAGGAGGTTGGCCTGAGGCCCTATTCCTCCTGCTGGAGCCTGCTTCCCCCCCTGCCAGGCCTGCTGAGAGCCCTGAATAGGTGGCATTGCCTCCCTGCTTGAGGAGTGCACGCAGCAGGCTTGGAGGCTAGGATGTATGCCCTTGCCATCCCTGGAGAGAGGGTGGATAGCATGGCACTTCCCCCAGTGCCAGGTGCAGTGCGTGGCCACAGACCATCTCCCATTATCCTCAGCCAAGGTTTTGGCCTTGGAGGAGAAGAGCACTGAGGAGCTGGATGAGGGGCATGGTGTGGGTGAGGTCATGCAAAGCTGTTTGGGGTGGCTCAGCCTCTTCCAAGCATTTGATATCTGCTGTGGCCAGCCCCAAACTCTTGGAAACAAGAAGGAACTTTTTCTCCTCCCTTTCAGATCACTCACAGGCTACGTCTAGACTGGCATGATTTTCTGGAAATGCTTTTAACGGAGAAGTTTTCTGTTAAAAGTATTTTCGGAAAAGAGCGTCTAGATTGGCACGTACGCTTTTCCGCAAAAGCACTTTTTGTGGAAAAGCGTCTGTGGCCAATCTAGACGCGCTTTTGCGCAAAAAAGCCCCAATCGCCATTTTTGCAATCGGGGCTTTTTTGCGCTAAACAAGTCTCAACTGTCTAAACTGGCCCTTTTGCGCAAAAGGCACTTTTGCCCGAATGGGAGCAGCATAGTATTTCCGCAAAAAGCACTGATTTCTTACAGTAGGAAGTCAGTGCTTTTGCGGAAATTCAAGGGGCCAGTGTAGACAGCTGGCAAGTTTTTCTGGAAAAGTGGCTGATTTTCTGGAAAAACTGTCTAGTCTAGACACAGCCACAGTGACTGTAAAGATTGGGTCTTCCCTTCTACCCTTCTCCCATTTCTGAATTTTCTTGCTGCTATTGAGAGAGGTTCCCAAGAGGGACCTAAAATGAAGTTGAAATAGTGTCTCTCAAGTCCCTTCTCTCTGCTTATTCTGAATAACTCCAGTGAGCTTGCTGGTGCTCATGGCTTCCACAAGATTCAGCCTGATACATGGTTTGTGATAGTTACACTATTGTCCATAGGGTCTGAGAATCAATTGTGAAACTGACCAGAGCTTTTTAATTTAAATCTTGTGTTGCTTGGTGAAGTTGTGAGCCTCAGGTATACTCGGTAGATTAAAGGGCTTGTTTACAGATATGGATTAAGAAATAGGGCATCCTTTTATAGATGGAGTTTATCAGGGTCTGACAAGCCCTAAGGAAGACAGCACTTTGTCAGTTTATATTTGGCAGATTGCAACTATAAAATCTCTGCTTTTAGTAGGTAGGTCGGGTTGGACCATAATATTTGCAGTGTTGCCACTCCACAAATTTTAGTAAATTGTCACACGCTGCACATTTCTACTATACTAAGGGAGGTGGTGTGGGATCTGGGAAGGGAGTTTGGGTGCAAGAGGAGATTCTGACCTGGGTAAGAGATTGGGATGCATGCTCTGTCCATGAAGTGCTTACCACAGGTGGCTCTCAGCCAGTGGTGCAGCAGGTCTCAGGCAGGCTGCCTGCATGCCACGGTCCCAAACACCTTCCAGAAGCAGCTGGCTGCTGCTAGCATCTCACTGTGCACCGCTTAGGAAAGAGGGGGGCAGTTGGTCTCGTCTCATATCTGTTTGTGACCCACACCCACAAGTACCTCCCCTTCATCTCCTATTGGTAGTTTACTGGGTCAGTTTCCAATTGTGCAACTCGTCACCATTCCATGCAGGTTTTTTTGTGAAGTTCTTAGCCTGACAGGACGAAAACAAATCATAGAGGGCTGACGAGGAGCATGAAGTCAACGTCCCATAATGTGTGTTCTCCAGGCCATAATTTGATCTGCATCCCATAATTTTTGTGCCTTCTTTTCAAAATTACACAAACCTGTGTGTGACACCTTCTGTGACGGATCTCCCTCCCCCATGCTTTCTGAAATGGACTTATGGACATAAATGGGCATAACTCACAGGTGCTTTGAGCAAATTACTTCATGTAACTTATTAATCTTCATGTCTTAATCTGCTGAATCTGTTTATCTTATTTTGGTGTATGTATCATTCTTGTGTGTATAATTAGAGGAATACTTTATGATTTTAAATGTGTACATGGAAAGCCATAAGGGTGATTTCAGTGCTGGGAGACCTCAGTGTCTGGGCAATCATATGTCTTTTGTCTTTAAGTCTTAGCTGTGGTTGGTAGGTACTGACTATGTGACTCCCCATGCAATAATAGGGTAATCTTTAAAAACAATAGGAACATAGAAGTGTTTGGTCTTTTCACACCCAAGGGTGGGAACCACAGACCCCAGGGAAAAGGAGACTTCCCTGGTCTGGAAGGCTTGGCTGGGAAGGAAACAGTTTTAGGGTGAGTTTGTAATAAGTTTTTACTGAAGTTTTAGTGTAGCAGTAGCTAAGCGTTTTCTGTTATTTTGAGTTTGTAATCTACTTTGCTTTGCCTGTTTTCACTTATTACTACTTAAATCCTACTGCTTATACTGAATAAAATCACTTGTATACTCTATCAAGCCCAGTGTAAATAATTATTATCTGGGGAACAATCAGTGTGTACATTTCCCCCTTTCATTGTTAAAGGGGACTTACCTAAATAATTCATTTGTGGTTCTGATCCCATTTGGGGAGTGGTATTGCAGGAAGCTGAGCCCTAAACTGCACTCTCTTTGAATCAGTGCTCCCCCTGCTTGTCAGGGGGAGCACTGCTCTGAGCTTGGAGCTTTGGCTGGGGGAGACCAGCAGAGCTGGCCTAGCAGGACCAGGTGGTGAGAAGCCCCAGAGAGCAGGAAGGTGAGTGGCAGTGGCCTTCTCAGCACTCTGGGAAGCACCCTGTGACCTCATCCTGTCACGCCCTTCTTGTTGTCCGCCATCTCTGACAGAAGCATGGAATCTGTGCATCTCTGAATTCTTGTCATAAGTATGACAAGCACAGGACATGTGATTCTGCAGTATTTTCAGAGCTGCAAGAGGAGCCATAGGGAACATGGACTCCTGGGAAGCTAGATTGCTGTAGGACATAGAAGCAATTCAAGATTGTTGGTGGTGCATGGTGCAGCTGGAAATGAAGTGTTGGTTTGGGGCCTGAGAAATACTGACAAGTGCGATTGCATTGTTATGGAAGGATGGTGTGATGAACAGGAGCTGCAGAACTTTGGGATGCACAAGGTCATGTCCCTGGATCTGTGTGCTGAGCTCTCTCAGCCTTCCAATATAAGTATGCCAAAATGAGAGCTGCAGTGATAGTTGAGGAGTAGCAATTGCACTGTGAAAATTTGAAATGCCAGAAATGAGTTTGAAGTTGGGAAAT